AACAAGTGCATCGCTTCTAGTAACAAGTGCCTTACTAGTAGCAACAAGAAGCTACTAGTAACAACATGACCCATCGTAGAATTTGCTACACCGTCGTTGCCTTGGCTGCCTTGGCTGCCTTGGCCTCTCCCGTGTTTGCACACGTCGCTTAGGTGAGATTCTTTTAGGAGGCCATCGCTATTAAGTGTCCTTTATAGTTACAAGAAGCTACTAGGGGCTCCTGGCATCGCTACTAGGAGCAAGGACGCTACTACGGGCTCCTGGCCTTACTACTAGGGAGCAAGAAGCTACTAGTGTTTTTTTCGTTTATGTTTTCGGAGTTTGCACACCTCGCAAGTTTGTCCGGAGGAGCTGCGACAGTGTCGCCGTGGTTTCGCAGGGCCGAGTGGTGCAGCGCGGTGGGGAGCCCAGCGTGTGCTCACGCCATTCAGTGTCTTTTTTTCATTGGCCTCCAACCTATAGCGTCCTTGCTCCTAGTAGCGATGCCCTTTGCTCCTAGTAGCGTCCTTAACTGGCTTTCGGAGGAGAACTGGAGCATCATTTGATTCTTCGTTTGAACCGCTTGCGCTACCGGCTACCCGTGCCACCTCTCAAATTGGCACTTTCACACAGTCTTCTCACGCGTGCGCTATCTCCATTAGTTTCCATTGGCTTCAATCCGTTTAGGGCAAGAATTCCCAACAGTTCTGTGATTCTGTCTCTTCACGGCCTCACAGCTTGTGTCTTGTCGGACGAAGCTCAAGCTGCTCAAGCTTTCAAGCTTACTCAACCTTTGTTCGACTTTTGGTTCGACTGTCCGGTGTTTGTTGCCTCGGAGTACGAGTACATTACGTGAGCAGGTGTTTGACATTCACAACACCGAGCCACGTTCAGAAGGAAAAGGGACAACTTAAAGGAAGAAAAGCAGAAAGAAAGATCTAAAAGCAAAGTAAGTGAGGAGAAAAACTGCAAAGGCAGAAAAGAATGTAGAAACGAAACCATAAGGAAATGAGTCTAAGGTACCACTGGTAGACCACCACTGGCAATGCCACCAGTCAACTGCCACTGGTGACCACTGGCAACCAGTTCACTACCACTGGTGGACACCCCTGGTGGACCACCACTGGTAAAGTCTGGTGGAAACCGCCACTACTGGCAGACTACCATGGTCAACTGACTGGCAGACTGTTACTAGTCAACCTGCACTGCCACTGGTGGACTGCGCAACGAAAGATATAGTAACAAACCGACGATTTGCAGAAAGGAATACAAACACAAAAGCAAGGAAACTACTAGGGGCTCCTGGCCTTACTACTAGGAGCAAGGGCATCGCTACTAGGGGCTCCTAGTAGACTAAGTAGACGAAACATGTTCCTTTATAGGTCCAAAGAACGGAACAGCGACGGAGGATAACTTGAACAGTAGAAACAAGTGCCACGCTAGTAGTAACAATGTTTGCTATTAGAAACAAGTGCATCGCTTCTAGTAACAAGTGCCTTACTAGTAGTAACAAGAAGCTACTAGGAACAAGTGCATCGCTACTAGGAGCAAAGGGCCTTACTAGTATAATTATAGTCAGTGTTAACGCGATATTTAAGGCCACTGTAGCACACATGAAATGTGCATTAAAAACATGCATGATTTTGGGGCAAGCTGTGCGTGCTTTTCTTGTTTGCAACTTTGGCTCTTGTTTGTGTTTGTTAGAGAATCACGGTGTCGTTCTTCTCGTTTCAACGGAGGCCGCTTCTCAGAGCTCATGAACGATGCCTCAGGAGCACTGGCGCAAATTGCGAGGCCGAAATTGATTCGTTTGCTTACGCTTTTTGGTTGGAGGCCATCGCTTTTTCTTTGCCCTTTTTGAAAACCTGGTTTACTTGACCATCCGACAGGTCAGGAGAGCTTCAAGAGGCCAGATACACAGCTGGCCCAAACGCCTCAAAAAGAGTTCTTGCTACATACACATGTACTGTGCATGAAAATAGAACTCTTGTTTAATCGCATATTGTGAATTCACACCCTGGGTTTTCGCTGTCACATCACCAAAACGTGTCGATACTTGTCGAAGCCATGGTTCACAAGTTTGCCCAAAGAAAGAGCACGTCTCAAAACAAACCACCTGGATACTCAACCAGCCAAATATTGCAATACTGGCAATACCCGCTTTGCAGTTTGTTGCTGAGGCCTAGGTGGCCATCGCAGTGCGCGCCAAAAAGAAACGATGTTCGCTTTTGCCGCTTCATGCAGCAAGCGTGGCCAGACGAAGACCAAGACATTGCAAGCTTTGAAACACAAGCAAACAGGTGTTCTACCGATGCTATTCAAGGGCGGCATATGGTTATTTTGAAACTAGTTATCCAAAGTAAAAGAATGCCCACTCAGCTGAATCAGCTGCAACTGAGGGTAGAATTTAGAAGTTGCCATTCGGTTAATTCTTTTCAGATGGCTCACCCTTCGAGGGCACCCACCTTTCACTGTCAGTTCCAAAGATGCTGTGGTGAAGCGCAACTAGCGGCTACTAGCGGTCAGGTGACATGTGGTGGCTGTGTCGCAACCCTCACATGTGTTGGTTACTAGTGGCGATGCCCTTTGTTCCTAGGTAGCGTCCTCTTGCTCCTAGTAGTAGTAGCGATGCCCCTAGCTAGTAAGGAAAGGCTAGTAGTAGCGTCCTCTTGTTACTAGTAGCGATGCCAGGAGCCCCGTTCGTAGCGTCCGATCGCTCCGATCGAAAAGGCTCAAGCGACGCGCCGGGACCGGGCGTTGGACCTCGATGCCGGGCGCGATGCGCGCGTGGGTCGTGCTCCTCGCGTGCCTTTCTGAACTGGTTTGGGCCGAGAGATGGGCAGTCGGCGAAGGAAGGGAAGGAAGCGAAGAAGGAAGTGAAAAAGCGCCAAGAAATGGCGACAAAAATGACAATTTGCATCCTCCTTGTGAAGCGTGGACACTCTTGCAAGAAATGATGTGGGAGGCAGTCGAGTACAGGACTCTACCAACGCATTTGCCGCAGCAGTTTCAAGAGCTTCTAGGAGTCGCTGAAGCAACTGTAGGAGTGTCTGAGCAGTTGCTGCAATGCCCTTTTGGAGCTGCTACAGTTCTGGCGATATTCGCAGCTGTGGATCCACATATGTTCAAACACGTCCTTGAAGAGTTTCTTTTCGTTGTTTTCGAGATCCCTGAAGTGTTCCCCGAGCTGATTTGTTCCGGTTTTCCTTTGTTTGGAGCTTTGGATTGGGTGGAGCAAACTGAAAAGCAAACAGTCTGTGAGCAAGAAAGCAAGACTTTCTATCTTAGCTTGGCGCATTATTTGGGGCGATCGCGCGAATCTCCACCCGCTCTCTCCACCGTGGCTTTCCTGGAAGATCTTCCCGAGGAGTGCTTGACCGAGAGAGCAGTCGGCTGGTTGTCTTTGGGGCTTAGTTTATTGGAGAGCGGCCTCCAAGAAGCGTCAGAATCAAATCTTCATTTTTCCTCGTCTTCTCCAACTTCATGCCTTCTTCCCCAAGAGCTTAGAGATTCGCTGCAGAAGGCAGAAGCTCTCTTGAGAGATGAGAGCGAAAGTGAACGAGAGAAATTGGGGAATTATCGGCAAATCGAGAGCCAAAGCAGTCATCCGAGTCCTATTTTGCATCGGCTATTGAGTCCATGGCCATTGAAAGTACTTCACCAGATGGCTCGAAAGTGGAAGGAATCAAAAGAATCTCAGTCAGTGCCGTCGACAGATTTCGAGGACGAAGATGAAGGCGACCGCGAAGACGACGACGACGACGACTGTTTGATTCTGATTTACACCTTTCCGACGGAAGAGATTCGCCAGGATGTCGCTGAAGCACTTCGAAGTCTCGAAGAATATGTTGTGAATCCACTTCGAGAAGAGGGAGAGGAATCTATAGAGAGGGGAAAGGGAAGAAGAGAGCTTCCAAAACTGGTGGTCTTTGTTGACTCGGACACTGCAGAGAAACTGAACGAGCTTAAGCCATACACCAGTCTGGAAATTCGGCCAGCAATTATTCCGGAGGAGGAGCTTTCCCGAGAAATGAAGTCTTACAGCTGTCAGAACGGAGATCTTTGTGCTTCAGGTGAGGAGCTTCCAAAGGACTTTCATCGAGGAAATTTTAATGAAACGCAATTCTGGTCTCCAGCATATTTACGAATCAGTCGCTATACTGCCGGGCCACTCTTTCAACATCCTGCTTTAGATTCCTGCGGCGTTTTCTTAAAGATCGACACCGACTTCTTCTTCACGGCTCCCATCCAAACGAACCCGAACCCCTTTCGGAAGATGCGCCGGGAGGCGGTTCGTTTGGGCTACTGGCAGATTCACATCCAGGGTCAGCGACAAACGGGATACATGGAAGCGGCACTTCGCTTTCTCCAGGCGGGGGGAGAAGGGTGAGGCCACCAGGAGAGAGGTAGGAAGAGGTAGGTAGCAACTGACTTAAGTAGCTACTACTGACAGGAAACCGGATAGCTCATGCTTCTTCAAGGAAGCTCCCCCCCTTCGCCCTCGGGGGAAGCTTCCTTGAAGCGCTCGCACTAATGATTTGTTTCCTAGACTTTTAGGGAATCTTAACTAGTGATGGTCTCCAACCTACTAGTGTAAGCTTCAGCAGCGATACTTTTAAGGGGGGTAGCACGAAAAGAGCGGACAAACTCGTCTTGTTTCCAATAGCTTCTTGTTACTACTAGTAAGGCACTTGTTTCTAATAGCAAAGATTGTTACTACTAGTAGAGAAAACAGGACACGAAGTGGATCACACTTTGAGACCAGATTCGTTTTTGTGTCAAATGAATAGTGCGAGCGCTTCTTCAAGGAAGCATGTCCATGCTAGTAGCTTAAGTAAGGTACTAGCTACCTAGCTACTAGCTACCTCCCTAGCTAGTAGTAACAAGTGCATCGCTAGTAGTAACAGGTGCCTTACTACTAGTAACAAGAAGCTACTAGGAACAAGTGCCTTACTAGTAGTAACAAGAAGCTTCTAGTAACAAGTGCCTTACTAGTAGTAACAAGAAGCTACTAGGAACAAGTGCATCGCTTCTAGTAACAAGTGCCTTACTAGTAGTAACAAGAAGCTACTAGGAACAAGTGCATCGCTTCTAGTAACAAGTGCCTTACTAGTAGTAACAAGAAGCTACTAGGAACAAGTGCATCGCTTCTAGTAACAAGTGCCTTACTAGTAGTAACAAGAAGCTATTGGAAACAAGACGAGTTTGTCCGCTCTTTTCGTGCTACCCCCCTTAAAAGTATCGCTGCTGAAGCTTACACTAGTAGGTTGGAG